TCAAAGGCCGGTCTCAAATAGAGGCCGGGTCTGTTTTTTAGTTTCGGGTTGTATTTAATCTTCTAAAACCGTCAGATCGTCCGCTTTTTGGCGGCCGCCAAAGCCTATTTTGATCGATGAGTGATGTAGAATAGAATGACTGCTGCGCTCGACAGGGCGCATAACGAGCAGAGAGAGAGAGAGAGAGAGAGCGCCCCGGCCGCGCGCGCGCACTCTCACGTCTTCAAACAACACGAGCGCTGTCTTGCTCTCTCTCCCTCGTGCATATTAATCAAAATCAATTGATGCGATAGTAAAAGGTCGGAAGACCGCAGTTTCACGTGGAGCATTTGGAGATTTTTAGCGATTAGAGACAGGCCTATACACTCAATGAACAACATCTCAACACTAAATTATAAAGGCCTGTCTCATATAGACGCCTGTCTCAAATACAAGCCGGTGCAGTTCGACGATTTGGGAAAATAAAAGCCCGGGCTACTATTTGAAGTTTTACGGCAAGTATATATTCATTATAAACGACTTTTAAAACAGTTTTTATTATTTACTGAAAGCAAATCTGAAACTACAGGTGTGTGTGTGAATTGGTAAATGTGCTATACTCTGTTTTGCAGGTCAAGGTTAATTGATATAATAATATATACCGTAATTCCTCAAATAAAAACCGGTATTCAAATAAACGCCGGGCCTCTGATAGTGGCCGGGGGCGTGGTCAACGCGGACAAATAAAGGCCGGTCTCAAATTAAGGCCGGGGAAAAATTAGTGTACACTCAAAGACGGACGCGCTCAGCGCTTGTCATATATCACAAGTATTGAGTGTTTTTAACCACATGTTTATTTTAGGTTTCAGACATTTAAATAGATATGATGTATAGCAAAACAATACATTTATAGTTTGTAAAATACACAATGGTGTCTATGGAAGCAGCAATAACAATCCATTCAAATATATTTGGCGACGTGTTTTATTCATATCATATACACAGTGTAAGTAACTATAAAGTTGAATCTATTCTTCTCCCAGTTCACCGGCCACTTACTTTCATGTATTTCGGGAGAAACTGAAGAATTCACGCGCTGTAACTTAACAAATCCAACAGACAGGAATCTCTGAACTGCGGTGCCCATCTCGCGTTACAGATCAAGATAATTTATAAAGGGTTTTAAACGACAAAACAAACTCACTTACACGGATTTGAGAGTCAGAATAGAAGATAGTTGATGACATGGTAAGCAAGTTTGTTAATATTTAGAAATAAAAGCGCTACATCTGTCATACAGCGCTATTTTGGCTGTGGTGAACACGTGCCAAGCATGACGCGTCACCATGGAAACTTGGCTGGCGGGCGGGCGGGGATCGCGAATTAGAAATAAAGGCCTGCCTCTAATAAAAGCCTGCTTCAAATAAAAGCCGGCTACCATCTGCAGTTCAGGTAAATAAAGGCCCCGGTCTTTATTTGAGGAATTACGGTATAATAGGGATGCACGATGATATCGGGACAACATCGGTATCGGCCGATAAAAGCTTAAAATGACCATCATCGGCATCGGCCGATATGAATATTTCTGCCGATGAGCCTTGCCGATAGGGTGGCGTGTTTCCTATGCGCACGTGACGACCGTGAACGAAGCATGAGCGCCAGCAACTTAAACTTCCAACTAGGGGTGTGCCGTGCGTGCGTCTCACGCGGTTTTTGATCGTGGACGATTAAAATGTCTCCACTATCTGCTTTTGAAGAAAAATCATAGTATCGTGCATTCTATCAGTTCAATTCTGGCGCCTTCATCACAACATACTGTACAACGCGACGTACATTCACATCACATCACATGTAAACGCAGAGGTAGAGTTACACTCACGGGACACCGCAATTCACAAAAGTTCATTGTTTGCATGTGCGTCAAAGTCTTGCTAGGTAACGTAAACATGTCATTCGCGTGCTGATGTGCTGTTCTAACATCCGCTTTTCTGAGCGCGTACACGCGACGCTCACAGGAACTAAAAGCCTGTCACAGCGCCTGCATACTGGACTAATCTTTCGAGTCTTATTGTGCTGATACTGTCAAATACACACAAGGTTTTCATTAACAAAGTTGGTTATGTCTAAAGTGAAAGCAAACAGAGAAAATCTGCTTGTCAAATGCGTGTATATTAGACGCGTCGCGTTACTCGCGTGCAGTTCTTAAAGAGACAGTAATAATATTCTGCCGCTTGTCTTTAAAGAGATACTGCACCCAGAAATAAAAATTCTGTCATTATTTACTCACTCTAATGTTGTTTCAAACCTGGATTCATTTCTTTCTTGTGCTTAAATATACTATGGAAGTCACTGGAGTACAGCAACTGTTTGGTTAGCCACATTCTTCCAAATAACTTTTATAATTTCAACAGAAGAAAGAAACTTGAGAGAGTAAATGATGACAATTTAAATTTTTGGGAGAACTATCCCGTTAATGTTAATAAAACAACAAAACACAGAGGAAATCACTCACTGCTCTTGACTGAGAACATTAATAGAAGCTTTAATAAGCTTTTTTTGCACTTAAAAAAAAATACAAATATATCGGTATCGGTATCGGCATCGGGCAAAATTAGTTTGAAAATATCGGCCAAAATCCTATATCGTGCATCCCTAATATATAACATTCATGTTCATCACACAATAATATAAAGTTGCAACTATTTTCAAGCGTTGAATTCATTCAAATGAAATGTAAAGGCTGATTTACCTTGTAATCAGCAGGTTTTTGTTCTCCAAGAACAAAACTTGTGTGACTGCATCTTTGTGTCCTTTGAGTCTGTACAGACCGCACTCATTGATGATATCCCACACAATCACATCTGTGTCCTGCAACACAACAACATAGAACATGACTTTAGTTCATGCAGAAATGTATATGGTCAACAACCAAAAATTGTAGTCTTACTCTTGAGCCGGTGACAAGACGAGCACCCAGTGCATCATATCTAATGACTGAGACAGCTGATTTGTGTCCACTGAAGGAGATGTTGCTTTCACCATTCAGCAGACTAAAGATACGCACACCTCCATCCTCATAACCCACCGCTATGTGGACACCATCAGGAGAGGGACACAAGTATGTCACCTCATGCTTTTTACCTTCAAGTATAAGAACCTGAGAAATTAAAGGGGAGAGAAGGTGAGTACAACATTCAGAAATGTATATAAACTAATAAGTCAATGTACTAAGTGATATTTTAAAACATACCTTCTCAGCTTTGCGGATATCCCATATGAAGACATGTTCACAGGCTCCCACAGCGACATATCGACCTTTCTCACCCCCCTTGAGGGTCACAAACGCGATGTTTGCCTTCTGACTGCCAACCACCCCGAATACAGCACTCGCCACATAGCGCAAGTACTGCTTAGTTAAACCCATGGCAAACCAGAGGCTGTAGACACAAAATAACAGTAGGGGATTCGGGTGAGATCATGTTTCACTAACTTAATCTAGCAAACTGTGCACAATTTGTCATGGAACACATATTTAGAAAAGGTCCATCATGCTGCATATAGCTGCATATCAAATTAAAATTTCTACATGGCAGGATAAATTAGTTTTTTATCAAAGCAAATACATTTCATAATTGGTTGCTAATGTATGTAATGAATCAGTAATGTATAAATGTAATAAATCTGTAACATAAATATTTACATTATTTGTCTCAATATTAGCCATAAACTTCCCCCCAAAATGATAGTATGTGTATCAGATGCTTCTCCTCCAAATACTATTATATTAAGCTTGTTAAAAATTCTATTTTTATATTGAACTTGTGGTGGCCAAAATAAATGTTTAAGATTTCTATATGTAACAGTTAATCATTATGATCGCAACTTGTAATAATTGCTGAGGGAGCTCATTGTTTATGCCTAAAATAAATTCTGATTGCATGATTTATATTATCTTTGAACAGTACATTTCTGAAGTCACCTCTGATAACAGATCACCCTAAATTGTAATGTAGAAACATGCATTTTCTGTAAAGCGGATTTGAAACCATGTGTAATGTGAAAAGCGCTACACAAATAATTACAAATATGAAATTGAAATGTTCAATGAAACGTCTTACACAAAACATGGGGCAAGTGCCACTTCACTACTTTAAATCATATTTTTCATCACGATGGCAGCATTAGACCTTATATCAACAGAGCTGTGGTTGTGACGTTGTTCGTGCAATGATATTTGGGTTATTCGGCTGGACCAAATGAGGCCCATACGCACCTTCAAAAAGCTGGGATTGCCAGTTATAAAGTAAATTAATTAAACGAGCAATCTACAAACGGAAGAAAGCTTAACCTAAAAAGTGAGCAACTATTACTGCAACACCACGTTTTCAGGTCCATGCGACGACGAACATAACGTTAGTCGACAACGTGAACCACATGCCGTTCGTTCAATATATGCAGATATTAATGTGCAGGTATTAGAAAGTTACAAAATATGCCACTGTGTATATAAAATGTACTTACATGCTTTATCAATTAGATGTCCTTTATGAAAATGTTACTTCTGTGGATGATGTGGAGAACATGCTTCCAGTCGCAACTGTGACATCCAGTAAAGACAAAAGTGGTAGATTACCGAGCAGAACTACGATGTCACTTCAGAAAATGTTTCAGGAATTTACGTTTTAATGGACATTTATGTCATACTAAAATATATGATTGAATTATTCATCATTATTTCCACTCCTTATGTGTTTTATTTATCTGTTCTTCTTATGAATTATGTGCACACTATCGATTACTTCGGTCTGTGAAGTCATGTTGCTGTCCATGAGGCTCTACCAATGTGGTTATAATTAAAACGTTTATTAAATTTGTTTATTCATTATACTTTTGTATGCTTATTTAAATTTCGCGTTGACAGTAGAACGTCGATTAAAATCTATGATACAGTATTGGACAGGTCTGTGCGTTTCTATACGGATCGACAACATGACGACTGTCCCTGCTGAAATCCCGGAAGTGATGAATTTTCTCCTCGTGAATCAGCTGATCAGGAAACTCGCTGAATGTTGCAAACACACGATGTGTTAACCACAAGCAGCTAAAATCACATTTTAACAATGGTCTATTTAAAAGCGGAAGCACAGGAGGATGACAGTGATCACCAACACAGTCTTTAACGGATTAATTTGAGCTAACGTGGTTTTGTTTTTGCAGTAGGCAGGACTGAATAGCTTCACCAGTGGGCATCTGGTAGGTTGCTGGTCATTGTGATTGATGGTGGTTGTAATTTGTTGCATTTTCATCAAGTCGATATGGTTAGAATTAGTATGAGGTGTTTGTTCCCCCTTTCTATCCTCCTTAAAGCAATATTGTGCTGAGTGGTTTGTATGTGCTTATTGCAAGCGAGTTGAGACCTTTTTTGAACAAACTCCTAGCTTTGTTGTTGTCGATGGAATCTAATTTGGGGACTCGACCTTTACACATGCAGCTCATTTCTCTTGAATAGCTTATCTGTTCCTTGGGTCCTGTCTGTCTTCACTGATAGAGCCTCTCTGTTGTGCTTGAAACGTTCATAAACACTACACTTCTCTCACTGCAGCTGCTACACCAGACATAAATTATTGCTGACTACTTTTGTCACATTTTGGAAGATTGAAAGTACATTTCTTTTAAACACTGTGACTCTGTAATGTGGAAGTTCTGTGTAATGTTGAGTTATTGAGTGTTAAACACTGGTATGTTTATCTACAAAACTTTCCCTGTAGTGGTTCTCAGGAGGCCAGGGCCCACTAGGGAGCCTCCGCAAACTTCTGAGATGACTGAAAATGATTTAAATGGTTTATTTGAAAATAGCCAAGCTAAAACGAAATGCTTACAAGTTCTACATAAAATGTAATGAGCCTTTAACTTAACCTAAAGTAAATTTTAGATCACAAGTGATTTCACAGCTTTTCTGTGCCTGAAATTTAATGTAGTCAGTCATTGTTACCACCCACTTACATGTTTAAACTGATGCTGACATCTGTATGTATTATTGCTAAAATGGCCCAGGTCACACTACAGTCTTGTGTGTAAATGCTTCTCTGTGTCTTTCAGTTCCAAATTTGTCAGTGAAGCAACATCATGGATCCCTTGGGAGCTCGTTCCCAGTTTGTGGAGGTCCAGAGTCTCTACACATGGGATCAGCCTCAGGGAGTCCAAGATGAGGTGGATGGAGAAAACCACTTGAGGGAGGAGGAAGACACGCTGACAAATCATGTCGACTTCTTAACGTCCCCTTTCCCCTTCAGACAAGACATTAACAGCAAGATTGTACTATTGTGAGTGTTGTTTACGCTGCTATTGATATTCCTCACACCTTGTGTTTTTCACAGATTCTCCACAAACCTCTGTAGTTATTTAAGCACAAATTATTGCTTAATAGTTTTTTTGCTGTAACTTCAGCCTTAGCCCTGAAAGCCAAAGCATCAAACTCTTTTCTTTTGTTATCTTAATAGTTTAATAATTTAGAGCTAACCCTTTCCCTTTTTTTTCTCCACCCACTGTGCTCTTTGCATTAGTTATTTGCACCAGATCTTTACTGCTTTAGTCATTCCCTCGTGCGCACAAATCCCCCTTATAGCTCAGTCACATGCAACCATCTGAGAAGTCCTTCTTGCTGTGCTTTCTGACAGATGTAGCTGTGTTAGGGCAGGATCAAATTCATAGTTTCTCTTTTTTAAGAAAGGGGAATTTTTTTTGCATGTAACTTCTCTATGAAGTCTATGAACCAGTCCTTCTGGAAGTTCAGGCAGGAAAAGAATTCAGCAGTGCACATTGTTTTGTGCTTGCAGGATTTGTTCATAGTCACTTTATCCTTTCATTTATTGTATTTCTTCCATGCAACTGCGAACCATTATTTTTGTTGTTGTTGTTTGTTCATTTTTCTATTGAAAACAAAATGGCACAATAATAACACTTAATAACGTTATAAAAAACAATGTTATTTATCAGTGTTGATAGTATTATTTATACCCTTTTAGTATTTATTCATATTTTGAGCTTTTACTTTTAATTTTAAAGTATTAGTAATTTTATAATCATTTGTAATTTTTAGTAGTTCAGGTTTTATAACTTTAGTACTTAAACATTAACTTATTTCAGTTAGTTTCCAGGGTAACATTTCTACTTTCTAATTTCTTTCCACTGTTTCACAGATAAGGCTTAAGTCTAGTCCCAGACTAAAATGCATGTTTGAGCTGTTTTATCTGAAAGCAACTTGCACGGGCATATTTTAAAGTATATCAGTACCATTGTTTTGTCTCAAGATGCACACCAGTAATCTTTTTTTTTTTTTCTAAGGCATGTTTATAAAAGCTACTTAAATGTCCTAATTAAACTAAGGACTAATCCCAGCTTAATCTAAGCTCTGTTTGTGAAACCGGGCCTTAAATAAAAAAAATAAAAAGTCTCTAAGTTTTTCATTTAATTTCAGCTCTATTTCAGTTACCAAAAATTATTTTTAATGGTTTTAGACTAGTTTACTTTATATAACAAAACAGTTTTTTTATGTTATATATATGCTATGTTTGTACTCATAGATTTTTCTCACCTTATATGATTTTCTGGATGTTCTTCTGTATGTGATATGTTGGGTTATATCATCCCCTCATTTTATAGTAATGGAGATGTGGCATTTTTAAACTGCACTGCAATCGTCAATACCAGCAATGAGACCCTAACGGACAAGAACCCCGTATCAGACAGTATCCACAGATATGCCGGACCTGAACTACGGGATGAACTACTCAAACTGAAAGGTAGAGGGCGCTACTTGGCTAGCAGATGAAGAACTGTTACATGTCATGCATCTACACATTTTATCTAACTATTAAACTTTTAATATTATTAAGTGCTGTTTGTTATACAGTTTTGGGACAAATCTTATCTCATCATTTTGTTGGAGTGTAAATGATATGGCTGTGCTAATATTTTTCCAGGATGTCGGACCGGTGAGGCAAAAATGACAGAGGGTTTCAACTTGGCTGCACGCTTTATCGTTCACACAGTTGGACCCAAATATAAAGCCAAGTACCGGACAGCTGCAGAGAGTTCTCTATACAGCTGTTACAGAAACGTCATGCAGTTTGCCAAGTAAGCTGGATCATTGCAACACATTTTTTTGAGTCAAATAAAAATAATGTCTGCTGCTATATGGAAAAACTTCTTTCTTTTTTTTTTACCAACTAACTGACTGATGTAAACCATGTATAATTGAAGTCAATAGAACATATTTTTGTGTATGTTGATTTTGTTTGTCGCAGGGAACATGCCATGGTGTCTGTGGGTTTGTGTGTGGTCAGCACAGTCAAAAGGGCATATCCACTGGAGGACGCCACACATATAGCTTTAAGTAATTTACTTTTACTTGTCTTGTATTATATAAAGTACGTACATCAAACTAAAGAAATTCAGAAGGATCTTATCAAAATGTGTTTCCCCCACATTTATGTTTCCAGGGACTGTTCGTAGATTTCTAGAGAATCATGGTGAAAACATTGAGACAGTGGTGTTTGCTGTTTCGGATGTTGAGGAGGTGTGTGCCGTTTCATTTTCACTGTTACGCAACAGACTTCATCCTTTAATTCTCAACTGTGCTCTCATATTATTATGACATTTTTATTTAAAGACCAACTTTTGTTGTGTTTGTGGGTGAAACTGCTGTAACCTGAGTGTGAACTACAGCATAATGCAGTAGAGATTCATGTCCCTTTTCAACAGCTGCTAAATGAAAACTTTGATTTGTATCAAGTTCCTGCTTTTTTAGTATGTGTATGTATAATTGATTGACTCTTGATGTGTTTGTAATTGATTTCTGTTTCCAGCCAGTGTACAGGAAGTTAATGCCGTTGTATTACCCACGCTCAAAGAAAGAGGAGAGAATCGTTCTGCCTCTCCTCCCTGCCGACATTGGCAATTCTGAGGGGGAGCCCGTGGTCCCAGAGAGACAGATCCGCATTGCTGAAAAGCCTGGAAATCTAGAGGGTGAGCTCAAATAATTGTTCAATGTAACATATTTGTATATCTTACAGATAAAATCTTTTTAATTTTTGAAAGAAGTCTCTTCTCACCAAGGCTGTATTTATTTGATCAAAAGTAAAATAATATTGTGATTTTTACAATTTAAAATAACTTTTTACATTTTAAAATGTAATTTATTCCTCTGATGGAAAATCTGAATTTTCAGCAGCCATTAAGGGGTGGTCACACTACACTTTCAATTCCATTGACTTCCATTCATATGCATGCCAATTACAAAGTTTGGTGAACTTTGACCTTCGAATTCAGATCACGTGAAGACATGTTTAAAGGGATACTCCACTTTTTGGGGAAATAGGCTCATTTATAGGCACCATGAGAGCAGCAGGCGTTATGATATGACGCAGCGCCTGAAAATAGGCTACCTTCCGTCAACACAACGGAACTATTTTCAGGCGCTGCGTCATATCATTGCGCCTGCTGCTCTCATGGTACGGCAGTAAAGTTTCTTGATTATTACGCAGGAATGAGAGTATAGTTCCTAGCCATATCAGCCTAGAAAATCGCAACTTTTCATTTTCCGTCGGTCTTAGTGCACGATGTAACTACAGAAGAGTCAAGTTTTAAATAGGAAAAATATCGAAACTCTTTGGTCTTTTTTTTTTTAGAAATGCTAATGGTCTTGTCCACTTCAATGATGTATGCTAAGCTATGCTAAAAGTGGTACCGCCAGAACCGGAGATCGGCTGAATGGATTCAAAAAAGGTAAAACTGAACAGTTGAACTCTGGGGGAGTTGTAAAATGAGCCTAATTCCAAAAAAAGTGGAGTATCCCTTTAAAGATCGATTAAAGGCACAATATGTACGATTTTTTTGCCACAAGAGGGCACAGTTTCCAACAATAACAAAAGCGTAGGTTGATGACGCAGTGATGAGCTGAATGAGGGGACTTGCTGTCAAGCTGATTTTTTTACATTACAGTGGTATGAAGCAGGTCGCGATTGCTAAAGAGTCCCGCGGATATCACACGCGAGTCCCGCGGATATAAAGGAATAAGGACATTTAATTCTACCGAACTACCCGCAAGTGCTGGATTACTCACACAGGTCAGTTTATTAGACGAATTAAACTTGTGAGGTAACGCAGCGCTGCTTCACTTGGTCTAACGTTACACTATCACACTAAACGGCATTTAAATGTGTGTTGAAAGTTATAATGTTATACTACGTGTTAGTTAGTTTGCTATACAAAACTAGCAGTAAGCTAGATCAACATTAGAATAACATACTGACCATATTCTAACATTTCATCATGTTGAGCTAAGGTTATATAACATTGATTTGTTTTATGTACATTTGCTCACCTGTCTAATAAAGCTGTCAAGTCGTGACTCGTGAAGCTCTGTCAAGTCCAAGTTAGTCGCGGACGTGGAGCTCTTGGCATCTCAAAAACGCCACGCTGATATTGATCCTCATTTTAGTTCTCCTTGTTTGTCCCAAAGTCTGCTTGCCATGGTCTATGTTTGAAAGAAACAAGAACTGCGTGCCGCTAAACGTTACGCACTACGCAGTTGTCCACGTCTGTCGCCATGGTTACGTCATGGCTATGGCAGTATGAACGGAAACCGAGGATAGCGCGGATATTGCGTCATTGACAGGCGACATTTTTTTCCGGGACGCCCACTTATTTAAAATTGGAATTTCTCTGAAATAAAACATCTTTGGAGACTTTTGGGATATTGTAAGTACACAACTGCAGGAAATATATCACACTGTGCAAGTGATTTTTGGATATTTTATTACAAAATTCTTAAATATTGTACCTTTAAGCCAAGGCTCATCTCGGCTGAATCAAAAAAACAAACACAGAAATATTTTTTGCAGTAAAGTACAGTAGATTGTATATTTACTTTTTTTGATTTATTATTATTTGTTATGTTGAATTTATCTGATCTTTACTCGAGTCTTCAGTGTCACATGATCTTTCAGAAATAATTATAATATGATGATTTGGTGCTCAAGAAACATTTCTTATTATCAATGTTGAAACCATTATATTTCTGTGGAAACAGTGTTACATTTTTTCAGGATTCTTTGAATGGAAAGTTTAAAAGAACAGCATTTGTTTGAAATACTAGAAATATTTTGTAATATTATACATTTCTTTACTCTAAATGTCTGTAATGTAAATGTCTTTATAATACTGTCACTTCCAGTATTATATTGCATTCTTAATAAAAGTATTTATTTATTTAAAAAAAAATCTTACTGACCCAAACTTTTAAATGGTTGTGTATATTTCTTCAGATTACCAAACAACCAGTAGGAATACATGTTTGCCAAAAAGTTTGGAGAACATTCATCTGGACGACATGCATTTCTCAGAAACACTGTGTAATGTAAAGGAGATTTTTTTTTTTTTTTTTTAAGCTGTTGCAGAGATTATATTCTGCAGTAATATATTTAATTTACAGCATGGAAAAACAATTGTCTCCCAATAGTGTGATAGATTAATGATTATTAGCAGCATGCAGCCGATCTAGAGCTGTTGAATGAGACATTTTTTTTCCTTCCTGGCTATTCATCTTGTTCTGTTGTGGGTGTTTCATGAGTTCAGATCAGCTGGAACAGCCTCTTTGTCCCACAACAGGTGCTCTGACTATAGCAGAATCTTCAGCTTTCTGACAGGCCCAGTGTGGATTAAGCTACAGTCGAGTGTGTGCGTGTATAGACACCAATGTTAACATGCCTATATGAGAATGAGTGTATGTTTGGCTTGCTTGCCATAGCACTCTGAACACAAGTGTATATGTATTTGTTAGTGGGAGATTAAACTTGTATATTTGTTGGCTTGCCATTATTTCAAGCCTATATCATGTGGACTGTGAGCCAGCTGTGTTAAGGTGATCAAGTCTCACTAGAGCTGTTGATCCAACTCAAACAGGCCACATAAGCCAGGTCCCATGTCAATAAACACTGCACTTTCCTGCCTGTCTTAGAATGCTTTAAACCAGGACATGGAAAGGCAGCCCAAGGTCTGTTAGCTTTTTCTAAGTTAATCTTAATATTCTGAATAACCTTATATTATAGCAGAATAACCTTAATATTCTGCTTTATCAGTCTCGCTTCTAAATGTTTGCTTGAGCTACTCAGAATGACAAGTAGTTCTCATCTGAACAAACATGATCGCTTAACCAAACCTCTGCATACTGAAGTGGCACAACAGCTTCCAGACTTCCTTGTTAATATGAAGTTTAGGGTGAATTGTTTACCTTATGTGACACTTTGCCATCACAAGTGCCAACTTGATGAAAAGTTTCAAAGTGCTATTGATCAGCTAGACATTAAGTCCAACACTAAACTCGCACCATTGGTTGAGCCACTGTTTCAGGCTTGTTGGGTTGCTCAAACAAACAGAAACAGAACAATGTTTTTAAAGGTCCACAGTGTTTACACTTTATTTTAAAAACCTGATTAATTTATCTTTTGTATTAAATTTTTTGAATGATGACTGTTTTCCCAGACACTCAACCTACAAAGCTGTTGGTTTAATGTCTCTTGCATCACTCCGTATTGTCTTATTCTCACATAACACAAGAAGTATAATGCTTAGTTAGCTGGTCATTATAGCTAAATAAATCCCACATGGTGATCAGGAACCTGACCCAAACATTACTCAACATACTTGGGAATGGAATACCACAAGGTTCGGTGTTGGGCCCTTTCTAAAGCAGATTATGTGCAGTACTGAAAATTTAGTATGCTACTAAACTTTGTCACGTCTGTTTTATCATGATTTATTTAATAAATGTCCTGTTACTTATTGCTATCTTGGGTTGGGCCAAAACTGCTAAGTTTTTTTTTTTTTATGAGGATAAGAAGTGTTTGTTCTTATACAGTCTTTCTGAAAGACATTAAAGGACACATTTTTAATGTTTGTAACCCAGCTTTGCCGCACCCTGTCACTGATCTGGTTGATCTCTTCAAACTCTTGTCCTCATACATGCCCTTTCATCATTGTGATGCAGGTCTGCTTGTCATTCTTAGAGTAATATTAAAGACAGCAGGTGACTTGGCCTTCACTAATGCAGCCCAGCTCTTATGGATTAGTCTATGAAGCCATGTAGAGGTCTCAAAGCATGCCTCAAACCACCACACACTTCCCTAATCTGCCTTCTCCAGTTTTTCTTTTTCTGCCCAGTTCCCTTAATGCCCATTTAATTTTTTCTGTTTTTATGCTTTCTGTTATTCATGTTCTTATTACCCTCGCAAAAAGCGGTGCTGTATACTATGGAGCAATGATGGTTTCAGATGGTAATGCCATGATATTCATTGCTTTCTTCATTTACCATGGTATTTACACTAAAGTACAATTTTCTTTAAAAAAAAAACTTTAATCTTTCTTTCCTTCATTTGCTGTGCTATGGATATATTTCTATTTAATTGTTTACAATTTCCTTTTTTGATTAGATCATTGTCTGACACAGTTTAATGTCACATTGTGGTGACGTGCTCCTGAAATCCAAATAAATTTCAGCTAGAAGCCAGCATTGGTGCTCTCTGGTTCAGTGAGGCAGATGATAAAAGGACCATATGTTGCATTACAAAAACAGAATCTTATTCTTTCCCTCAATATACTGTAATGGTTCTGGGCAAAGATAGTCTTCAGGAGACATCTGTGTCTAATAAGTCCTGATGATGTCTCGCTGTAGGTTTGCTAGCAGCTGACTGGCTGTGATCTTCTGATTTACCTGTTAGTGTCTCTACCATTCTGTCAAAGATGTTGTTTTTCATTTCTGGCTAAAGAAATAAAGACTGACATGTGACCATGTGGTTGAGCTGAGGAAATAAGAAAAGTTCAGTTTGTTGTTCAGACTGGACTTTCTTTTCAAGTCTGTTCAGATATGTCTAAGGTTGGCCCGTATTGGAGATTTGGCATACACATGTAAACAAGAATAACAGATGAGGATTATTTTTATGTTTTGCCTGGCTGTGCATCACACACACCACTGGCTTTCCCAGCTCTAATTGAGGGTGGGAGGCCACGTCTGGTGGAATGTACCACATTGTAGTGCTCATTGAACCTGGTAATGTTCATTCCAAGTGTGTGAGATTTTTTTTTGTGTGTGTGTGTGTTTATCACAGCAAATGCATTTGTGCTTCAGCACACTTTTATGGCGCATTGGTTTCGCTTTTCTTTTAATATCCAGAACTTTGTGTTGTGCACGAATACATGGTAATAAGTTCATAATACTGATATTAATCTTATTTCTGCAGATGACTCTGGGGATGATTCACTAGAATCCGACCTGGGGCTGGTAGGAAGTCATGCATTTGCTCGTATGGAAGGGGATGTGGATAAGCAGCGTAAACTCATCCTTCAGGGCCAAATTTCGGAAGCAGCTCAGCAGAAACAGCACCAAAGGAAGTAAGATGTCTTGTTCTCACATTATAATGTTGCCTTGTACTACCATATTTAACGAAACCCCTTACAAATATTCAATGAATTCAATTCTACGAAAATACTGTAATTATCAGCAGTACTGTACAGAAGTAGGGCTGGGCAGTATGACGTGTTAAACATGTAAGATACTTTTTTTTTCTATGAAAAAACCCCCTGATAACCCTGATATAAAATTATTTAAAATGTGATTGGTCATACTACCCACCCCTAGTAAGAAGCTTTTAAAAGCCTTCCTGTCATCATGTTTAATTGCTTTTTTAATGAGTCACCACAGGTTTGCTGTATCATGGCAAATGTTTGAGACACTGGAAGCTTGGCAGAACCAACAGCATCCTAAAAACTGTCAGCCACGTTGGCTATATATACAAACTAAGGAAGCATTTATGTTTCATTACAGACATATTTATATTAGAGAACTATATACTCGTATGTTTGTTATTTGTACATCACTGCAAATTACCTAGATGTGACGTCTTAGTTTTGGGTGTCTTTACAGCTATAACCGCTGGCTTTGCAGAGCTCGTGCAGAGGACCTCTCAGACATAGCAGCATTAAAGGCACTATATCAGACCGGTCAGTCTTTCTCTCTTTGAGTGTCTTTCTTGTATTTTAATAATGTGTGTTTTAATTGTAAAGCTGTCAATTTAACACAATACCTTTAGTACAGTCAATTAAATAAATTCATAGCATTGATAAATTAACTAATTTAATCATGGACTCTGACCCATACGTACATTTCATAATAAGGGATTTTCTCAAAAGCAAAGCATGTTTTTTTTTATCATTTTGTAATTCATGCAAGGTTTTAAGGTGGATTTTTGAGTTTCTTAAAATTAAACATTTAGTTAAATGGCATATCAATTAATTTGATTAAAATATTTAATCGTTTTACAGGCATAGTTCATGTATGTTGGTGTTATTGTAGTAGTGGTCTTTGTTTGGTCACATGTTCTCTTTGTGTTGCTGTATCTCTGTATATCTTTATGCACGTGTGGACTTTGTGTTCTCTCCATCTGTGTGTTTGCACTCTGGGCAGGAAACCTTTGTTCTGCCTCATTGAGCTCAACATCAGGGGTTCTGTAATCCATTTTTCTCGTTTCACAATTTCAGGATAAAAAATAACCACCAAAGTTACGGTTTCTGTGTTGATAAATATTCATCGTCATCTAATTTTTTTGCTTACCTCAGATAGTGTCAAACCTGACTTTCTGTGTTCAAAACTTCACGTGAATTTACCACAGACTGTACACATTCTGTTTGTCTTGCTAAATTAAATCTTTAATTTCTTCTTTTAAACCACAGAAGATCAATGCTTCTTATATAACTGAATATCTGAATCACACTGACTTACTTTCCCAAAGGGGGCAGAGTTTCTCTAGCTGTACACCTAAACATGCATGTTCACTGTGCCATGTGAGGATGGACTATATTAAAACATCTGGCTATGCACATCCAGATGTTTCTCATAATAAAATGCAAAGCATTGATTTCAATATATACATAACTCTTTCAGTTCTGCAGGATGAGTTCATTAAACAGGGTGAGGCTGAAATGCCTAACGCATTTCTTCAGATATGCTGCATATGAGAATGCTGTCAGCAGAGGGAACAAACTAGGGAGCTGTGTCCCTCCTGACCATCTACCCAGCCTTTGAGGCTCATTTAGGGTTAGGGACTCAGACACCTTATAATGGCTGTGAGGAAACATCCTTTCATAATATAGCTCTGTCATGAATCATGATGCATTTTTCTCGTTTTCAGGTGTTGATATGTGTGGTAGAACGGTCATGGTTATTGTCGGCAGGAATATTCCAGTTACACTTATTGATATGGAGAAGGTAAAAGAGAAAATTCTCATACTTCCATTTGTCATGTTCTGTGTATGGCAGGAGAAAATCCAGTTGGCCAATTGCCCTGCATTGAGGATATCTTACAGTACACCATATTTAATTGCCAGATTTAACAACAAATGCTGCCTAACCAGGTGAAAGGTCAACCTACATAAGGGTTTAAAAGAATGTTTGGGTCTAGATTTTTATTTAGATGTAAACCAGTTAGATGTATAAGATTTCTATTTGAGATCTGCATTTAGACTGAAAACTTTGATTTATTTTAAAGGAACATGCTGACTTTTTGGGACTTTAGCTAATTCACAGTATCCCCCAGAGTTAGATAAGTCCATCCATACCCTTTTCATCTCCGTGCGTGCACTGCTAGCCTAGCTTAGCACAAAGACTGGAGGTAAACGGCTCCAGCTAGCATACTGCTCCCAATAAATGACAAAATAACGCCAACATTTTCCTATTTTTCGTGTTGTGATTTGTATAGTCACAGCGTGTACAAATAACAAGGTCATTGTGACTAAAATGTGACACATTTTGTTCAAAAATATATTTTTAAATCCTGTCATTTTTTTACTCACTCATATCAGACCTGTATGATTCTTTTTTCTTTTTCTGTGGAACACAAAAGGAGAAATTGAAATGACATGTAGTTGAGTAAATGTTGACTGCATTTTCGAGTGAAATATTACTTAAAGTCATCTTGTGAACATGGAATTTTTGTTGCTAAATCTGACATAATTATTGACCATACAGTTTTTTACATTTGGCATTCCAAATTATATTGTGGCGGTTTCTCTGCATTGATATGCTCTGTTTATACTATGGATATTGGATACTACATACATAACCATATTTTGCAGACAAAAGTGAGCTAAATCTGACACAAAAAAAAACAGAAATTAGCTAAATCTAAGAAAACCACCTCCTGAGGATTTACTCATTTGTAAAAACGGTGTTAAAATAGATGAATTTATAAAAGAAAAATGCAGAAAGATTTCTGTTGTGGTTAAGATTAGAATGTGGATTAGGGTTAGGTTATAGCCTAGTATTTATAACTATATAAAAACAATGGAAGTCTATGCAACTATGCAGTCTATGCATTTACATAGCTAAGTTAATGTGTGTGTTTGTGTGTTAGGCTTTGCTGTATTTCATCCACGTGATGGACCATATCACAGTGAAGGAGTATGTGATGGTGTATTTCCACACACTCACCGGTGAACACAACCACCTGGACACGGACTTTCTCAAGAAGCTCTATGACATTGTGGAAGCCAAGTAAGAGTTATTTCTGTTCCATTATAGATGCTACAAACCACCCACATTTCCTGCTCTCTACGAACTTAACTCATAACTCACAGACTCCCATGGAAAAGCTAATCACAGTTTCATATAAATACTGGCTTGCTGACTTTGTTTTTATGAGCTTCTTGTGCCAAACAGTACTGTCTTCTCAAACCCCAAAACACCACATATGTTGTGGTAATCTTAAGGGAATGTCTATATCTTGGGCTTCCTGTTCGATGAATGTCATGAAGATTTATACACAGATGCTCAACCCTTTTGTAGGTTATCACCAGCTTGGAAAGTAGTTCAAAGTAAATCCACACAACGCTGAGTCATGTTTACTCTGTTTTACCTGCTGTTTCTCTGAATTATCACTCTAATTTGGTGCTCAAATGTGAATGAGTTGATTGGTTTCACTAAGGAAAGTGAAATGATATTCATTTTGCTCAGAGCACTTTGGGAAATTTTGAGGGGGATTCTGGTTATCAAGGTTAGAACACTGAGAGCGATTGCAGTGACTTTGACACCTTGTAAATCTGAGGTCTCAATGTTCTCCTCTCACCCATCGAATGAGAAAGTCAACAAACTACCACCAGAGGCCCACACTTGCATGGATGTAGCACCACGGAATGGCGATTGTTCTTTTAGTCGAACAGACCTCATGATTGCGGTTTTTCTGGCTTAGCAGAGAAGTTTGAGTCTTTGTTGAAAGTCAAAACCGTGGGAGGTGATTGGTAGGTCAGGCATTCGTCATTTATTCGGGGGGACACTTCTCAGCATGCAGGCAGAGGAAACCACAGTCTTGAAATAAAAAGCAGAAGTGCTCTCCAGCTCCAGTCCCTCACACTTTCCGTACATGGTGGAGATCAGCGTGACTCATAACTCTGAGAGCCAGGCCAGTTTGACTCGTGTCATTTATTATGAGGTATCAGCAGAGCAGAGCAGATCATCATTGTATTATTTATCTATACAAGATATTGTTCTGAGAAAGTGTTTTACAGTCATAATTCATGAGCAAGAGTGATGAGGTTCTGTAAGCAATCACGTCCATATTTATAGCTGAGCTAGTCAGTGATGCTATCACTCCCTGCTGTGACCCCATGCTCATGGTTTTTGGACTGGATGGGCCGTGTCCATCGTGGGAAAGGTTGACAGACACATCCCTTGTGCTTTTCGAACACCCCTCCGATTTTGGCCGTCCATATCTCTATTCATCTGTGTGTTTTGGACAACAGTGTGCGGCTTGGATGTGGCTGCCCTGCTGGACTTAATTCACCAACTTTTGCTCGTTCCTAAAAAATGCACTTTAGCTCTCTTTCTAATGGGTTTATTGTTTTTGTTAAGGCAATAATCCTTTCAAAGCCCAGTGCGCCAGAGGAATTCACTGTTTGTGTAATAAGTAATTGGTTGGATGTGTTGATAATGTTTTTAAAACCAGGTTTTCCTTTGTGTTTTCAGGTTTAAGAAAAACCTAAGGGCTTTCTACTTCGTTCACCCGACGTTCCGCTCCAAGGTAAATGTAATCAACTCATCAACTTGGATCCAAGTCCATTAAAGGCAGCACTAGATGTTCATCTCATTTTGAGCTTTTCTTTCCAAGCTTGTACGGGCCTATGGTCTGATTCACGGCGGTCAACTCCACATGTTTCGCATTGACTAAGAAAGACTGTATGCGCTTGTGTGTAACTGAATCTATTGAAAAGCGTTGTTGAGACCACATTGAGATTCATGATGTATCCGCACTAAGTGTTCCATAGTGTTCCACGGAACCTATTCAGGTAATTGAAGTGCTTATGAGAGCACGTTGCCTCTGCCAGGCTTTGCTTTCATTTGTGAAATTATTCAACAATTATGCTTTGTGCACTCCAAATGTAAAGGAACCTCGGCAATTAAGTGTCAAATAATTGTTTAATTTAAAATGCATCCATTTCAGTCAGAGAATGCTCAAGCCTTATAACAATCCCAGGTGTGAAATGTGTTCAAGCCTTATGGATGAGTCATTGGAGTAAATGCTGAAAACACAGACTACAGCAACAGCCTTAGGAGCTGCAGAGTTTGCACTTAGCAATTAAACATTTTTTTTTTGCACAGCTTCACCAATTTTGTAGTTGTCCATTTTAGAATGGTTATTGTCTGTCATTTTCCTTTAGAGTTACATTTGAGGAAAAATGTATGAGGTGAATAAATTATTATGAATTATATTTGTTACAAAAGATTAGCATTTCAAATAAATGCTGTTCTTTTGAACTTTCTATTCATCAATGAATCAAAGAATACAGAAAATAAAGAATTTAAAATTGTAATATATTTATTTTACAATTTTACTTGCTGGTTTTTTATTTTTATTACAGCCTTGGTGAGCAAAACTATATCGCAAACCCCCCAATACCCTATATATATACATATATATATATATATATATATATGCTCATATAAGTTTGACCTCCTGAGACTGACAATTAACCTTTTCTGCAGGTTAAGCAATGCTTTTAATTGCCCATTTGTTACAAAAGAATAAGGGGGGGGGGAAAGTGTCCTATTTTGTACCCTTTTCATGGAGAGTTCCTTCTCTGTCCATCTAAGGCTTTTATTTGTGATTCCCATCAGGTCTCTACGTGGTTCTTCACGACTTTTAGTGTATCAGGTCTTAAAGAGAAAGTCCATCACATAGAGAACCTGCAGCAGCTCTTCACCTGCATCCATCCTGAGCAGATCGACATCCCTCCTTTTGTCATGGAGTATGACACACGGGTGTGTATTCAATCCTTTCACACACACCTCAGTCTTATCCTCAAAAACCTTTACCACACTACAGTTGTCCATTGAGGATGAACAGTTACACTTAAGCCCCTTTCACACAGCGCTTTGAACCCGGCAAATTGCCGGCAAATTGCCAGAGTGCCTTCTGTGTGAACGCAAACACGACCCGGGATCGATGCCGGGTTGGGGACCTAGTAACATTGCCGTGTTCAGACCCGGAACGCGCGCTGTGTGAACAAAAGCCAGAACCAATGCCGTATAAGGGGTGTGTCGTAGCGAGGATTCACAAGCCTTTGCAATGACGTAGTTATCGTGCGGCTCAGTTACTCTAGAAGAAAGTTTGTGTTCGTCATCGATACAAGAAAGAACGAAAAAATCTCTGCAAACTGGACTGAAGTAGAGACCCGTCACATCCAACGTCACGTGTCTTTCCGGAACATACACGGGTTGTGTGTGAACGCGCTCTCTGATTCCGGCAAATCACTGGCAGTGTGAATGAAGCAAAATCAAACGAACCCGGGTCAAATCCCGGGTCACTTTATCCGTGTATTTTTCGGAATCTCTGTGTGAATATAGTAGCTTTGTGTGAGACTGAACAGACTGAAATTTAATTATGTTTGAGACCCATCTGCATGTTGGTAGCTTATAAAAGGAACAATGGCACGCTCCTTCCATCCGTAGTGCTAAGGTCTACTCCTTGGGCAAGAGTGATTAACCATTAAGCGTTCCATACTAGGGTAACAGTTGTACATACACGTTATTGTATATGGGTTTTTGTAATATAATAAAACTAGATCAGTTATTTTTATCGGTATCCCCAGAAGGCATTGGCTAAAAGTCAATCAAGTCTAGTTTGAATCTCTAACAAATGATCACTCAGCACTAGATCTGCATGATTAATCGGTAAAAACATTGTGATCTCGATTTAAACACAAGACGCGATCTTAATCCTAAATGGCAATGATTTGGCTATATTAAACCTTAAACCTAAGCCAGTATGATCACAGCGGAACATTCAAATCTGTTTTGACGCTGCCACTGATCCAGAGAGAGCAGTTGTCATGTATAGGTATGAAACGGCTTCTCAAAAAGTCATCAGAGATGTGTAACTTTGCTCACAGCTGATTGGTCCAATTTCAGTTGGAGATCCCTTACCCAGAACACAACCTGGCCCGGAGCAGGTTAGCCGTGGTGGACTGTAAGTTACTATGGTGATAAACACAGCTAAAAGCAGAGCCACTTTCATGGTACCTACAGTGGGGGAAATAATTATTTGATCCCCTGCTGATTTTGTAAGTTCGAAAAGAAATGAAGGGTCTTTTGTATAGAAATGAAGGGTCTATAATTTTTATGTTAGGTTTATTTGAATGGATAGAGACAGAATATAGAAAGAATAAAAATCCAATAAAAACACATTATATATAGGTTATAAATTGATTTGCATTTCAGTGAGTGAAATAAGTATTTGATCCCCAAGCAAAACATCATTTAGTACTTGGTGGAGAAACCCTCGTTGGCAAGCACAGAGGTAAGATGTTTCTTGTAGGTGGTCACCAGGTTTGCACACATCTCAGGAGGGATTTTGTTCCATTCTTCTTTACAGATCCTTAAGGTTTCTTGGCTGTCGCTTTGAACCTCGAAGTTTCAGCTCCCTCCACAGATTTTCTATAGGATTAATGCTGCGTTCCAAACAGGTTTTTGAGCACGTAAATCACGACTTCAAACCACGACTCACGACTTTGTAGCGTTCCAGGCCAGTCATGCCAAACTATCTGAGCGCAATATACATACTTATTGTTTCAGACACATAACATTGTAATACATAATCGTGTGTGTATTATTATCATTATTATTATATTATTATTAATTTGACTGCAACGTTATATTGTCCTAAAGTGTATTCTCACCGTGTACCGCCTGCAGAAACACTGCATCCGTAGGGGCTGCCATTGTTGTTTTGTATGGTTTCGCGGGCTATGTGACGTCAGAGCTCGTAACTGGGAGTACATCGATCTAGTACGAGTTCACGGGTGGGAAGTCACGGGTTTGACTGCCGTGTCAGTGCAGTTTCACGGGTATAAGGTTGGAAAAACACGGGTTACAGGTTGCCTGGAACGCGGCATAAGGTCTGGAGACTGGCTTGGCCACTCCCAGGACCTTAATGTGCTTTTCTTGAGCCACTCCATACAATACAATACAATATCCAATACTACTAAATACTGTGAGCTTATAAAAGTCAGTTCAAAGTCAAAAAAGTTGCTTCTGATGCTTTTAAACTCATCTTTAGGAAAATTATTCAGCTTAAACATGTAAAGGTTTTTCTCAGTGCTTAACCCTCTGGGGTTCTTCGGACCAAATGGACCCGAAGAATTTAAATAAAAAAATGTGTAAAATCATAGCTTCATCGGAATGGTCCGAAATTTGGTGACTTTGTTGATACTTGGTAAATGAACACCCAAAAAAATTGGGGACAGGATTTGAATAGTCTAAGTGGTTGTAAAAAAAAAATGGTCACACTCAGGGTCTTCGGGTCCAAATGGACCCGCCATAGGAAATGAATGGGAAATTGACAAAAATGTGACAATACAGAGTTGTTTTGTGCGTACAATCAACAAATCAGCCACGATCCAGAAAAAAAGCACACAACAGTGAAGGGGTGAATCTATAAAACATCAAGAGTGCAAAACACACACACACACACACACACACACACACACACACACACACACACACTTTTATACACAAACACACTAATAAATTCAGATTACATAAATATGTTTTGAATTTTTAAAAATCACAGCTTCATCGGAATGTTACGAAACTAGGTGACTTTTATGGTATTAGGTATGTGAACAAACAAAAAATATTGAGGTCATGATCCAAGCATGCTAAGTGGTCGTCACACTTCTGCTCTTTGGTCAAAAATGACCCCCATAGGAAATGAATGGGAAATTGTCAGAGTTTTTTTTTTTTGCATACAATCTACAAATCAGCCAGGATGCAGAAAAAAGGACTCAACAGTGAAGGGGTGAATCTCTAAAACATCAAGAGTGCAAAACAGACACACACACATACACACACACACACACACACACACACACACACACACACACTGTATTATATATTTATAATAATCTGTATTATAAAGTAAAACTGGCACTTCAAATTACCATTTAAACCAAACAAACAAACAAAAAACAAGACAAAAATAGTCTTTGAGAATCTGTTATTTTATTTTAAAATCAACAACCTGAAAAAAATTGTCAAAGATGTGCAAAACTCACAAGAATTCTGAACCCTTTCTACAGAGAGCTGTAAATCCACTAGTGGTAAAAATGTGCTATTGCGTGATAAAAATGCTCAGTGTGTCCAGCAGATGGCATCCATCTCATTTCAAAAATTGTTTTCATGAGGCCTAGGCTTGACTCTAAAATGAAATACAGCTTTAAAAAAAAAAAAAAAAAAAAACATATTTATAAAAAAATTATATTATATTCAATAGGGAAAAATGGGTCATAATTATTGCATAAATATTAATTATAAATCATACAATTTTCTCAAAACACCAAAAAATAAAAGAAAAAAATTTATAAAAAACAAGTTAAAAAAAATATATATGATTTTCTTTTAATAAATATGAATCAAACCCTTCCGGAGCATTTGGTCCCGAAGACCCTGAGTGTGACCCTGAAATGAAGGACCCCAGAGGGTTAAGGTAATTGAAATGTACAACTTGTGACCCATTTTAGACGCAATTTTACACAAATTCTTTAAACAAGTTTCCCTGTGTGACCTGTTCTTTAAATGCAGCCTTTAGCACAGTTTTATTTTTGCTCAAGCTGCTATATAAAAATATTGACTTATTTTTAAGGCCTTAATGAGGTCCTTTTTGTTTTGGAATGGATTGCGTTTGGCTTGTGGAAAGGAGATGCTAAAATAAGTCCCTAAGTATGGGTGGAGGAAAGTCTTTCCCTTCAGACTGAAACTCAGCCGTCTGCGTGCTTTGCTGCCGCTCGCTCCGACTCAAAGGAACACATCACATTTTATTTCTTAAGATTACTCTTCATTGTCTTATGTGGGTTCGGGTGGCATATTGAAGGAAAAGTGGAAATCTGTTAGTTAACTGGAATATTGAGAAGACAAATTATGTCTGTAGTCATCTGGCATTGCAGAATCTCATTACTATTATTACGTGTCACTAAGCATGTTTTTCCCTCGACGTGGAGAACATTGAAATTTTGCGTCACCTTTGTTACCTCACTGTTAAATCCAAGCAAATTGCTTACACTAATGTAATAAAGATATTTGTCACAGCAAATGGCTGACATTATCCATGCATTGATTGGATCCATTTGGACTGGACTGGATTATTTTAGTGGATTTTTTTTTTCATTCAGTCATTCCTTGGCTCTTAGTTTTGCAGTTTCAACTACTCCTCGCCATTTTATTTTATATTTGATTTTACCACACAAATATATCATTAAAAACTCTGTGACCCTAAGAGACGAAATTCCATCTGAAAAACTAAATTATATATCTGTATGGTCATATTTTCCATTCTAGATTTTAGATGTTGTGTTTTGTCCGTTTGTTTTGTTCCTGGGTTTAAAGGGCAGTGGATTAAAAGTAAATGAAAGCGAGAAGGAAGACACAAAGGTGAGGCAGCTGTGAAGAATCGATCATGCCACTAATGCGTTAAATGGATGGTCTTTCTCGTGCCAGGTGCATGTCGCCCTGTATTTATCCGTTCGCTGAGCAAGAGTGCAGGCGCACAGACTTGATTAGGAATTTTTTTTTCCTGCAGGCTGTGTCTGTATTTGATTTGCATGTCAGAAAGACATTTTGTACTTGTGCTTTAGTATGTTAATACAAACTCGATGACTTTTGGGGAGGGAATGCAAGCTTTTAATAAGTATGTCAGATTTTTGTTTTCGTCCTGTGTTTGTAAATGAAGTCAATTCAAAGTTAAGATCTTCAGATGATTCCACAGA